GGGGGAAGAGCGACATGAGCTCGTGACCTGTCGGCGGGGGCGGGATACGGCGGGGCGTCATGACAGCGTTGCTCGAGAGATCGACGTCTGCGATTGGCAGCTCGTGTCAGCAACTATAGAAGCACTAGCAGGAAGCGGGTGGCGTTACTTACCTCTGAGAGAGCTCGGGGACAGCGGACGGCGAGGGCCGTTGATGCTTTGGATGGTGCTGGTCGTCGACGAGGGCTGCGACGGAAGGGTAGTCGAAGATTTGCCCGAGGGCGAGCTGTGATCGCGAGGGGGCGAGGGTGATGCGCTGGGCGAGGAGTCGGAGACGGGTCGCAGGTGGAAGGAGCCCATGAGTTATAAGTAGAGGGGGGCTATGAGAGTGCACGTAAACAGGAACGCCAGAATCGCTTTATATGTATTTCGAGGCCGAGGACAGATCGTCACGATGGGAGAGAAGACGGGAGAAGCGGTGCGGGCCCAGTATCGGAAACTGCAGCGTATTAATACCGCGCTGGATATCGCCTCCGTGGATTCGCGCGCAAGATAAGTTACGAGGAGCCAGCCAGACTCTGACCTGCCTTTCTGCCCCCGAGCCCGATGCGAAGGTGGGAGAAGAACAAGAAAACGACATAAAAGGATAGACGTGCACGGGCATTACGTGCCAACGGGGCGCGCCTGGGACTGTTGATCAAGATCCCTGCGCGAGAGAGCCCCGGGCAACAGCATCGCTAAGCCCCAGTAAGCGACGGCGTATCCTCTCGCGCCCCCGCGGTATACGTGATGCCTGATCGCTTCGTGCCTCATGGCCTCGCACGTCCGGAGCTCGTTCATTTGCCCTAAATTGCGAGCCTCAATGTGGCAGCCGGCCTTCCGGCCTTTACACTGTGCGATCACCATCGACGCGCTCTAAACAACGCTATGTCAGTGGCTCGCTGGTAATCCCGTGCACGTCGGCGACCGTCTAAATGAGACGGGCAAGACGTCTCCCATCTGCGCTGTACACCATTGCTGTCTGTTCCTGGCCCGAGCACGCCTGTGCCGCTGATCGACACTGGACACTGTCCTGTACTACTATTCGGGAAACGGATTCGTCTCGCCGAATAGGTCACGTCGGCGCCTATCCTACCAGCGAAATGGAAGATGAAGACGTGCCTGCCTCGAGGTCGCTCTGGTTTCGTATTGCATTTCGTCTTGTCTCTAACATGTCATGTCTCACCGAGCAATGACAACGTAACGAGGTGAGTACAAAAGACTGCTTTTGCTTCCACCCTGGCTCTTGTGTACTACAGCATCGTGCACCTTCCTTTTCCGTCACGCGGAAGCAGACTAGGCTACGGCGGTTTCACCCAGTGCTCCGCTGTCGTGACGGGCTACTCGCTTCCCAGGCGCGCCTGTCCCTTTGACATGGATCACTGACTGCTTCGTGCTGCTTATACAAGCCTGCGTCCTGCGCGCAGCATCTCGACGGCCGGGCCCAGTACATCAGAGTCACCGGTCAAACATCCTCTGCAAGAACGCTGCGCTATTCTCCGGGGAAGCGCCGCGGCGGTACGTGGCACGTGTTTTCATGGTGGACGAGTCCGAGGTACCTACTGCGAACGGGGTCACGGTGCCCTGCGTTTGCCCGAGTAACTCTCGTTAATGGTACTCGATAGCTAGTGGCGATTTGGTCATCGCCGGCCTCGTGGTAGGCACGAGTGGGATACCGCGCCACCCTCTCGTCCTGCCTCGGTGGCAGATCCGAGTGAAGACGTGCCCTGCGATTGCGAGCGACGAAAGTGGCAGAGAAAGCTCCGGCGTGCGTAATCGGTGTCGAAGGGGATGCGCGCGCGATGACATCTCTGCTACCAAGCCCGAGGCTTGATGGAAACACGGAGGATGCCGCTGCAAGGACGCTCTCGTGCCATGTATTCCCAGCGTAACGCAGCAGCGTCCCGCAATACCTGCTTCGGCGCCAAAGAGGACCGCGGTTCTCAGGCGCACCGTGGAGGTGAATCACGATCGGTGCTGACGGGCCCTGTGCATGCATGAAGCTGCAGCGATCTAGGCTTTCTTTAGTGCGTCGCCTCGGATTCGCTTCGGGGCTCGCTTGCAGGTGCTCAGATTAGGGACGCGGACGAGAACGCGGACGAGAAGGCTGCTAGGCTCGGTCGGGGCGATCGCCCCTGCCGGATCCGTACGTCTTTGCCTTCGAATCCAGGACCATTGTGCAGCGTGCTCGACTCTTCTCTCCCATCAGATTCCAGATGTCACGCCTGTGCGTCACCCTGCCCGATACTGGCACGCACCCACTGATGGAGCGCAGTGGCCTTAGCTTCGTTTGTCCAGCACCGTCCCATCGGCCTGTTCCTTCGCTGACCAAGTGGAACTGCCATAAGCCTCACACTAGCGCCCCCGCCGGAGACGCCCGGCATTCAATGCGTTACCAGGTTCGTATTCGTGCACCCGGCGGGCGTGATACGCAAGGGCTGAGGATCGCCCGGTTCTTGCGATTTCCTGCCGAACATACAGCGAACGCTCCTACAGGTGGCGACTGGCGCAGTGACTCGGTGGGAAGCAATGCGCTTTTGGTATGCGTCGCGATCTGACGTACCTTCTTCTGGAGACCGTGGTGGCGTCCCACGGCCAGCCGGGGGAAGGGAAATGAATCTAGGAACTTGAGCAAGGATGGACAGAAGAGCCGGTGGGTGGCCAGGCCTCTCTCTGCCTCTGGCCGTCGGCAGATAGGGTTGAGCTTGGGAGAGTGCGATGAGAGCGGGCGTACCGGGGAAGTGATCTGACGAGCTTCGGCGCCGTCCTGTTTATACCACAGCAAGCCATATATACATCCCAGGGCAACGGTCGGTGCAGACCGCGTCGCATTTGTATATGTACGCGTTTCTTTATGTGGCGTATGAGACTGTGCTTGACAGTACATCAGATCAGAGAGGTGATTTCGGTGCCGGGGCGGTACCGAGAGAAGCTGCAGTAGGCGCACATAATGCGCAACTGCCTAGGTATTCATGCCGGGTACAGCGTCACAGCAAGGTACGGACCTCCTTTCCTGATTAATGATCATGTCCTTCACATTGATCGCTGGTTTCACGATTAAGGAAACAGGTAGTGAACCCTGTTCTTGAATGCAAGAATCGGCATGCATCTTCTCCATCCGCGGAAGGGTCTCCTTTCTTGTACTGGGCGAGAGTCACGACTGCTCCAATGTGTGAGTGGATCCATGAAAGAAGTGGCGAGTACGCCGCGGGCACTGGGTAAAATTGGACGTCGCCTTAAACGCCGTTCGTCGATTCCTGACGACCCTGATCACTATGCGCAGGGTATCTTGAGGAGTCCCAGTCAGTCTCCGCCGCTGTCCCCTCCCTCGGCGCCGCGGCTTCGAGTTGGCAGCTAGTGAGCAGAACGGGTACGTATAGCAATGCCACGAGGCTCCTCGAGGCTCTGCAATCGATAGTCCTACCTGCTCTGATTGGCGGACGGGGAATGTTGGCTCCGTATGCGTAGCCCTCCAGCGAAAGAAGCTCACTTCGGGGCCACTATGCGCTCTTGCACGCTGGTTGATGCCGAATACTAGCGGTCTTTCGGTTATGATATAACTCTCCGTCGTACCCGACAAGGAGTGCGTATACGATAATAGGTGGTCCCGCGAGCTGCATAATATGGGGTATGCTGGGATGGCTATTGGCTAGGTACAGCTCGGTTCAGCACGTCCTTCTGTCGATGCGCCGTCGAACGCGAGCGCATACTCGACGCCTTTTCTCGATCTGTCTGGTCATCGCGGCGATCCGCCCTCGATCCGGCTTTCCATTGGCCTTTGCCGGGATTTGAGTTAGGTTTGGGTTTAGTCTTGGTCTCCGATCCTTCGCGCCTCGACCGCATCCTCTGTCCCCTTACTTTGTCTCGTTAAGAGCTTATGGCAAGCCTGTCGCCGAAATACTTCGGTGTCCCGCTGCTGCCCGTACCGTTACAGTCCGAGGCTCAAGAAACCGATACTAGAGTGCGACGTATCATACACATGGCTTCATTCGCGGCTCAGCGTGCCTCCGCCGGACCGCGCTCGTCCAGTAAAGGGCAGATCGTCGATACTTTGATACTTTCTCTCTGGGTCGGTGTTGCATCGCGATCGTGGATATCGGGATGGCCCAGGCTCGCGTCGACGCAGGAAGTCCACCTTGTTTTCCCTGGAGTTGGCCAATGCACTGCTTCTCAAGCATCCGGAAATCCTCCAGTTGTCTAAATCTGTCTTCTGAGGAGTGGCGGTATCTATCGGTGATTCTTCTATCGTGGATAGGGGGTCTGGGACTGGTCTGGGGCTGGGGCTCCTCTGATCTGCAAAGCTCCATATAAATGACTTTGCAGATGGCACTCATTACTGGGCGCTCGCAATATTGCTCTGGTGATTCCACTGACGGTCCCCAGCGGCCCGACTGAGGGGAAACATCGCACTACTTATAGACACCTTCCCACCGCGACCGGTCCAGGACGGCATTGGGATGCGAATCCGCGAATATCCAGCGAACGTTGTTGTTTGGTGTGCGTATAGGCTTGTGCCCCGCTTCTTCAGGCTGCTTCGGATCACTATTCGGGAACTTTGTCTGGTTATCTAGTGATGATTATTGAATAAAGCCGGTACACTCGATGCCGTGACTCCCTTCAATATCAATACCTCCTGCGAGATATCGGTCGGCGCGTCACGCTCAGCTTCTGCATTGCTAGGTAAGGAAGCCCGTTGTCTCCCCTTCTTGATTTCGATTAACCGCTGTTGCCGTGGACCTGCGGTGATCTCTGCAGTTATCAAGGAGTCGAAAGTGGTGTCCATACGGATGCCCGAGCCAGATGAATGGCCAGTCAACTTGAACATGCCCATGACCATTTAGGTGATGGCAAGCGGTTACGGCCGATGTAGCCCGATCCCTCCTATCGATACAATTTTCTGGACATCGCATTGCTGCAATTCACGACGAGTGTCGGTCTAAACTCCATTTCGGGGCGATATAAGTGTGCTCTGAAGGTACGATATCCACCTTGCTTCCCCTTCTCTTTCGGCAGGGTGCAATTGAATTTCAGCTGCGAAGTCGGCCCGCCAAAGGACGAACAGTGAACAGGCGAGCAACTCAATTCATACACCTGACTGGGGTTTTCACGTTCGCCGCTTACCTGCGTTCTGCAGAACACAGTGCAGAAGGGTCAATACAGTCTATTGAAGACGAACCAATCGGGGTAGCAGATAAGGCGGCTACCTATTCCACTGTCAGTGTATCCAGGAGGTTAGCCAGCTCCAAGGGACCAGAAGCGAAGACGAAGCGCCCGAAGAGAGGGTGACATAAAGCGATCGGGCCATACCTACGCTGGCGTATGATATTATTTCTAAACCTTACTTGTCAAATAGACTCTCGGACGAAATAGCGATCTTCTCCGTCCCTCAACCACACCCTGTGGGTCCAACTACTTTATACAGGATCAGGATAATTGCGTAAATAAGCGTATGATGCTAAGATCCGTTCGCCAGGCTGGAACACGAAAGTAAATGGTCCAACTATGATCACTCCGCGCGAGCACCTTGCGAAGTCGGTAAGTCAGGCCCCTGACGGGTAGCCTCGGACCTGACGTTACCGTTTCCACCGGCCGGAGAGAATGCAGCCACGCTCTGCGGAATCCAGTAACCGGGTGCATGAGGCAGCGGTTACGCAGCTGGTGACTCAGGAGACTCCTCATCATCAGCTGGTGGACCCCTCTGAGTGGGAGACCGAGTGTTACGTCAGGAGTGCGGTTATTTGGTACGCCGTGAAGTGGGAACGCTGGGGCGCCGGCAGAGAGACTATGAAGAGTTCTTCTTCTTCCTGCGCTTTTTCTTATCAGCTTGCAAACGCCCTTCACCTTCCAGAGACTCGTCATCCCGGTCAAGCGACCGTTTAGCCGTGCCCTTGTTCGCCTTGCCTTGAGAGTGTACGTGGCCCTGTCCGTTCGAACTAGCGGATGGCGTAGGAGCGCTTGGTACATGTGCTGGGTCATCCACTCCGGAAGGCTTGAGGAACACGGAAGGCTTGGGAGGAGCAGCGGCCGAAACCTCAGCACGTAAGGCGGACCGCTCCGCCCTAAGATCCGTGCCAACCTTCGCGTTCTCGTGTATCAACATCTTCGCTGGCTTGACGTGATCCTTCTTATGCTCTTTCTGCGGCTTAAACACAGTTCCTGTAGAGCCCGATATCGTTACCGGGCGTTTAGACATCTTCGACCAGTCGCGGGGCTTGTCCTTAGAGGACTCTGCAGGCACCTCGACTGGCGCCGGGGGCTATCGTTTTACGTCAATTGATAGGAGGACATCTACGGAAATGTATCAGTCACTCACCTCGTCCTCTACCTCCTGACCCTTAGCATTGTACTTCCGACGGCCTTTTGGCTCAGAAGACGCATGGTTTGAAGATGACGAATCAGCACCTTCGCTAGCAGACGGGAAGAGGAAGGGCAGATAAGAGGATTCGTATGCTACTTCAGACCTTTGTATACAGATAAACCATATGAACTCGAGGCTCTGAGCAGTGGTTCACGTACACTTGTGACGTTCCCGAGCTCAAGCCCCATGCCTGTTTGACTTTGCTCGATATCTCCCATTGCGAGTCGTCTTTTACTTCCGCTTTCTCAGCTTCGGCTTGCTGGACGAGCTTCGCTCGCTGCATGAACCGCAGGCTCAGGGTGCCATTACTCAGGGTTTTGGATGACATGACAGCACCAGCGGGAGAGGAAGTCGAGGGGTAGTCGAAACTTGTTGGAAACTTGTCTCCCATTCTGGACTCCATTGTGGCGCATTGACAGCAAGCTCAGTTCCCACGTTTATTTAGAAGCTGGACATGACATTATCGCATACGGCCTCAATTAGGGATACACATACTGCAGAGTATACTCGTTTACGTCTCTGCCGCTTACAATATCACAGGCATCTATTGGCCAAACTCGTAGTAAAAGCATCAGCCAAACATCAAAAAATCTTCTGCTCCGGTAAGGTAATGACTGCAAATCATCGATAGTAAGGATAGAAATCGTGCGTGCTCCTTTGCACCGCACCATTCACAGTCTCCCAAATCTCGTACTTTTCATTCAATCCCATCCTCGCGATGTGAACATAGCAGAGCCTCGCCGGCTCGTCGGGGCCAAGACGGTCAGGCGAAAGGGCGGGGTCCGCAACCATTCGAGAAGATATCATCCGTTCGATCAATGTCGAAGGGACATCCGAGGGCCAGGATCCTTCCAAAGAGAGATATTCAAGTCGGGGAACCAGGTGGTCAGTAGTAGCACGCTCCTACCCAGCGGTCGTTTCGAGGCTGCGCATCTGCTACGGCAATCGGTTAAGTGCGGACCATGTGGAAACCACGCGATAATTATTTTGTATAGTCATGTGATTATGTAAACTTTATTCTGGCTTGCCTCTCCACGACCGCTGGCGGAAAACATTTGTAAATAAACGCCACCGTTACCAGTGACACCCCGTTCAGGAAAGCGCCAGTGATCTTAGCTAATCCGATGCTCGACGCGTCGCGCCAACAACACCGACGCGTCTATCCTCGCCAACGGCCGTGTATGGACTAATGCCCGAGGAACCGTCAGTTCCATCTCTCACCGACATCCGAACTCGTGTCCGCGAGAAGTTCGGTCAGCGTCCATGCTTATGGCAGCTACAGGCTGTACAGGCTATCCTGCGGCGCGACAAAGATGTTGTGTGCATTGCTGGCACCGGGTCGGGGAAGACCCTTACATTCTGGATGCCGCTACTCTTCCGTCCAGACGGCATCCAGATAGTAGTGACACCTCTTAATATTTTGGGAGAGCAGAACACACGGGAGCTCCAGCAGAACAGGATCTCTGCCATTGCCCTTAATAAGAAGACGGCTACACTGCGGAATATGAGGGTGGGTACTTGCCCAAGTCTTGTGACATTTGTCCTAAGCTGATCTAACCTACCTGAT